AGAAAGATCATCTGTCGGACCTCCGAGAAACTTTCGCCACACTCAGGCGGCACCATGTCATGCTCAATCCCAAGAAATGTGTCTTTGGAGTTGAGTCTGGGAAATTTCTCGGATTCCTTATCAATCAGAGAGGAATAGAGGCGAACCCTGAGAAGGTGCAGGCGGTCATTGACATGCAGTCGCCTCGTACCATCCGAGAGGTTTCAGAAGTTAACAGGTTGTCTGGCGGCCTTGGGAAGATTTCTAAGCCGATCAGGCGACAAATGCCTATACTTTTTCCAGGCAATTAAGAAAAAGGCAAGGTTTGAATGGGGGCCGGATGCTGAGACGGCCTTCCAGAAATTGAAAGTTCACTTGCATTCCTTGCCGAGGCTGGTCAGCCCTTTGCCCAAAGAAGTACTCTACATGTACCTGGCTGTCTCTGATCATGCGTTAAGCGCTGTTCTCCTTGCTGAAAGAGACGGCTGTCAGCTCCCGGTCTACTTTGTCAGTCATATACTGAAAAATGCCAAGTTGAGGTATCCCTTAGTGGAGAAATTTGGTCTTGCACTCTTCATGGCTGTTAAAAAATTGAAGCCCTACTTTTTGGCACATGCAGTCGTCGTGTATACAGACCAACCTATCAAGCGGCCACTGACCATCATGGAGTCGTCAGGCCGAATGATCAAATGGGCCATAGAAATACAGAGCCTCGAAGTTACTTTCGAGCCTAGAAAAGCAGTGAAGGGGCAAGACTTTGCTGACTTTATTGTTGAGATGACTCGTCCTCCTGACTCTCAAGTTACAGACCATGTCTGGAAGGTATATGTGGACGGAAGCTCTACTTCAAATGGTTGTGGAGCAGGCGTCATATGTTAGTCGCCAGAGGGTGACAGGTACGAGTATGCTCTACGCTTCAGTTTTCAGGCCTCAAACAATGAGGCAGAATATGAAGCTTTACTAGCCGGAATCCGCATGTGCAAGGCGGCAGGGGCAAGAAAAATAGACGCCTGTTTCGATTCACAATTGATAGTGAGTCAGTACAATGGCGAATACGAAGCAAAATCCGGCCATGATCAAGTATTTACAGGCGGTCCGACAAGCAGTCGGCTCCCTTGAGGATTTCCATCTGACCCAAGTGCCGAGATCAGAAAACAACCAGGCGGATGCACTTTCAAAATTAGCATCATCCGCCTCCTGTGATACTCCTCGAACTGTTTTTTGGGAAGTAATGGAGAGGAGAAGCATTGAGGAAGAACCTATTGGAATCTTAGACAGAAGCTCAACCTGGATGGATCCAATCAGGGCATATCTGACAAATGGTACCCTGCCGGATGATCATCAACAGGCGGCAGCACTGAAAAAACGAGCAACCAGTTTTGAAATAATAAAGGGAGAACTTCACAAAAGGGGGTACCTTCAACCCTTCTTAAAGTGTGTTACTCCAGAAAAGGGACGAGAGATACTAGACGATCTTCACTCTGGTTACTGTGCTTCCCATATAGGCGGTAGGACGCTTGCTCAACGGGCAAGGCGGCAGGGCTACTTTTGGCCTACTTTAGAAGCAGATGCGATGGTGATGGTGAAAAAATGTGACAAGTGCCAATGGTTTGGCAAACTAATTCACCGCCCGGCTACTGGCCTCACTACCATTCATAGCCCACTACCGTTTGCTAAGTGGGGCATGGATATTCTGGGTCCATATACGCCTGCTACAGGCGGAAGGAGGTACATACTTGTTGCCGTCGACTACTTCACTAAATGGGTAGAGGCGGAGGCTGTAAAGGGAATCAAGACAAAGGATGTAATTTCATTCATTTGGAAAAATGTCATCACTCGGTTCGGGGTTCCCATGTCTATGGTTTTTGATAATGGTCCCCAATTTGAGACGCCTGTTCTCAAAAGCTGGTTGGGTGACCAAGGAATTGCACACTACTTTGCATCTGTCGGCCGTCCACAAGCAAACGGCCAGGTAGAAGCCTTTAATAAAATCATCTCAGACGGTCTCAAGAAAAAGATTGAACGAGCAGGCGGCCTATGGGCGGATGAACTACCACATGTTCTCTGGGCCATTAGGACGACTGAAAAAGGGGCGACTGGAGAAACTCCATTCCTCCTAACTTATGGTGCGGAAGCTGTTCTTCCAATAGAACACTACGAGCCGACTCTACGAGTAATGCTATATGACGAAGAGGCAAACTGGGAAGCCATGCGCCTGGCATTAGACTCACTTCCTGAAAGGAGGGGCAATGCTGTCTTGCGCCATGAAATTTACCGCCTGAGAATGACTAGATCATACAACAAAAAAGTACACAGGCGTCCACTCAAAGTGGGGGACTTTGTACTTAGAAAAATGGAAGCAGTTGGTAGGGCTAATGAGTCTGGCAAACTAACTCCCAACTGGGAAGGACCCTACCGAATCTGTGAAGAGGTCAGGGACGGTACCTACCGTTTGGGAACACCAGACGGACAACCGTTGCCTCGAACTTGGAATGTAGATAATCTTAAGAAATATTTCTTTTGAATGATGTAAATAGTCAAGGGCTACTTAATAAAAGTTTGCATACTTAATATTCAATTTTGTACTAAGAGGGGCATGCCTGCTGAAAAACAGTCGGCTACTCTCCATGTTTAATTTTTATTCTTACTTAAGAGGGGCAGGCCGCCTATACATTTACAGTCGCCTACTCTCCATTGAGTATTTTACTCTATCTTCAGAGGGGCATGCCGTCTGTACCTTTACAGTCGGCTACTCTCCATTGAATATTTTACTCTTATCTTTAGAGGGGCATGCCGTCTGTACCTTTACAGTCGGCTACTCTCCATTGAGTATTTTACTCTATCTTCAGAGAGGCATGCCGCCTGTACCTTTACAGTCGGCTACTCTCCATTGAGCATTTTACTCTATCTTCAGAAGGGCATGCCGCCTGTACCTTTACAGTCGGCTACTCTCCATTGAGTATTTTACTCTATCTTCAGAGGGGCATGCCGTTTGTACCTTTACAGTCGGCTACTCTCCATTGAGTATTTTACTCTATCTTCAGAGGGGCCCGCCTCCTCTCCTTTAAAAGGAGCAGGAGAGAATGAAGAATTGTCAACTGTATAATGGGAAGGGGTCACCTTGACTCCTCCCTTAGAACTGCCGGCTTTCAAGCCGCTTTGTTTCACTTCCACATCTGGCGCCTGGTCAGATGTTTCACTAATCGGCACCCTGTGGGAGGAGCCGTCTGAGTTTGAGATCCTGGCAGTCTTTTTTGTCCTGGCCATCATGCTCTGCATAGACACTGATACAGTCGGACTTTGTATAAAGGGAAAAGATGGGTCCAGAAAAGGGCAGGCGGCACTCCTAGTCCTAGATTCAGCCGTCCCCGGTGACCGGCTGATCACTAACCTAGGTCGTGTGCTTCCGTGGTGCCATTTCAAAAAAGAATAAAGTAAAGAGAAAATTAAGAGTAAGAGAACCGACGGTTACCTGAACGAGTGACGATTGATGAAGTTCTGAAAATCCTTTGCAGTCGGCTTGTCAGAGCAGGCGGTAGGCAGAGAGGGTCCAAAATGTCAGAGCAAGTTCAGGGGTCCGAATGTTCTCTCACAAAGTTCTCAAGTGTGAAAATGACCGAAGTCAACACTCCTTTATATAGGCAAAGTGAGAAGGCGAAGGGTCACTTGCAGAATTCATAATTTGGGCGGGAGAATCTCTCGGCCTTTCGCCGAGTGACACCTGTAGCAGGCCGTCGCCTGTTACAGTGCGACACCTGTCACAGGTAACACGTGACCAGTCACGTGGCACCTGTGAGGGGCAAATGATTAGGGGATTTTGCTCCCACCAATCACCATCTGACAAGTGGACCAATCAGGTTCCGCCATGTGTCCGCCACATGGGCCAATAGGAGCCTGCCACGTGTCAAGCAATGATCCGTCCACCTTGGACCAATTACGACACGACACGTGTCCTTCCCATAACACCTGGGATAACCGGTCACCTAGGCCCAACTTCCGAGGGAAGCCCAATCAGCCCAAGGTTAACCTAAACCTAGATTGACACGTTTCCCGAGGTTATAAATACCTCCCTTAATCCTCATTAAGGGGGATTACATGTTGATCACGCTAAAAAAAGCAGATTACATACATTAAACACTCTCACCTAGTGAGACCCAATCACTTAATTTCCGCATTAATTACTCCTTAATCAAGTACTAATTTGACCGTTGGAGGCGGAGCTCCCACCACCAGGAGTCTCCGTTGTTTTGCAGGTACAGGCGTCCGGTTCCAGTCTCGGAATTGTAACTCTCCCGCAGGACATCAGAAAACCCCGAAACACATAGGTTGCGTAGTGGCGATGGTGTTGGTTGCGCATGGGTTTTGTTGTTGGTTTAAGAAGGAGAAGGAGAAGAGAGGAGAAGTGAGAAGGAGGGAGGAGAGAGAAGGAAAGAGGAGAGCAGTTCAGAGAGAAGAGGAAAGAGGAAAGAGGAGAGGAGAGGAGAGGAGAGAGAAAGAGGTGAGGCGTAGAGAGAGAAGAGGAGAGGAGAGGAGAGGAGAGAGAAAGAGGTGAGGCGTAGAGAGAATTGATTAGTTGAATGTAATGATCAACCATTACCTCCCATGTTTAGTTGAATGCAAAAAACTTAGTAAATATAAAACCACTACTTGAAGTAGCCGTTTCTAAAAAGAAAACCGCTACTTGAAGTAGCGGTTTGTAAAAAAGTAGCGGTTTGTAAAAAAAAACCGGTTTAAAAAAATTTCCCACTGAACCAGTGACGTGGACGGTATAGTTGGAATAAAAAAAAAAGTGGCTGTATTTTGGGAATTAGAGAAATTCTCAACATTATTTAGGGAAAACACTCTAAAAAGTTGATATTGTGAAAGTATTTTATGAGACGAATCCAACAAGATCTCACGTGAATATATATTGCTTAACGTATAAATCATATTATATAGTAAAAAAAAGCGATGAATAATGCAAAAAGTCCATTGTTGCAATATTAATAGAGCGGATAAAGTATTAGTTATAGAAGATAGGTAGATAGATGCGCAATAGTCCAGCATAATTCAAACTTGAGTCCACAACCCCCTCCCTCCTCAGTCTTGAGTTTCCCTTTTTCCCCCCTTTAGCCACTCTCTCATCTCTCCCATGGATGCTCCAAAGGATTATATGGCCTGCCTTCTTGATCATGGCCTCTACAACTCTGCTCAACTTCTTGTATATCTTTTCTTTCACTCTCTAATTAATATTTATTTCTATAATTTGCTTCATAATCAGATGTTTCTGTTCGTAATTTCATCCCAATGTTTACTGATTTTTTGTTTTTGATTTTGTTGTTTTTAATTTCAGGGGCAATTCCTTGTTTCTTCGCCATCTGGAAATACTGAAACTAATTCAAATGTTAAGGCTGAGAATTTGGTATTGATTTTACTTTTAATTTGGATTTCTGTACTTTATTTTTTTTAGTAAGTTGATTCACTAATTACCCTAATTTTTTTTTGTTTTAGCTTTTTCTTGGTGATTCATTTTATCGTGAAAGGGAATATCGAAGAGCAATTGTAAGCTATTGCAAAATAAATTTCTAATTTTTTGTTGTTGTTCTTATTCACTTATATATATATATATATATATATATATATATATATATATATATATATATATATATATATATATATATATATATTTTTTTTTTTTTTTTTTTTTTGAGGGAAGTTGTTCTTATTCACTTAATTCAACTTATTATCTGTTATCTGTAATATTGTGTAGATCACATTTGGTTAGTGAGAAATCTTGATTATAAAATGGGCACCTATGCCGCGTAAATTATGTCAAACCAAAGCCTAAACCTTTTACCCCTATCTGTATTTATATGTGTACTTTCCTGTAAAATTATTGTTTCAAAGGTTAAAAGCGCATATTGTGTAAGGTTGTATTGCTTAAAAGTATGTAATTGTTGGTGTTTTTGAAACTGCCTAAGTAAAAGACTTGAGATATTGTTTACTTAATAGTGTATACTTAATTGTTTTTATTATTGTTAATTATTATTTGCTGATTTCAGCAAGTAATGCTAATGGTTGATTCTTGGGAAATTCTCAATAGTAGCCTATACTATTGACTTTTATCAATGGTTGTCAAACTTTTTTCCGATTATCAATGGTAGCCTTGAACTTCTAATTTATCAAGCTTGACATTAGTGTTAGTTTATTTTGTTAATATTTTAGTTGAATCTAACCTTTTGTATCAAAGGTTAACTTTATCAGTTTGATAAGAGAAAAATCCACCTATTATTTTTTCTCTCTCCTCTCCATCCCCATTATTCTCTTTTACAGTTGTCTTGTTAAAAGGATTTAGACATTAATGGTGAGCTAAGGAGCAGCAACCACCGAATAAAAGGAAAGATTGCGAGGAGAGAGAAATTGTAGGGTGGGAATCATGAATGAATCCATAAATTTGAGGCAGTTTTCAAGTGTGAAGAAATGGTGGAAAAAATTGAAGACATTGCTGCAATTGTCTAGGGTTTGGCTGTAGGTGGGCAATGTTGCTTAGGTGGTTGGAAGGTTGGTAGAAGGGGGTGGGGTTTGTAGTGGTGGCTCACTGGCTCATGAGGGGTGTGTGAGGCCAAGAGAGAGAAAACAAGAGAGATGCGACGGACTTGTGGTTGAAGAAAGTGGGTAGGATGGCAACAGTTGTCGGAGCCGGAGATGGAGGTGCTGCGGTGGTGCAGTGACAAGGGTGAGGAGCAAGAGGAAAGTTTCGGTATACAATGGCTGGAATCCTAGTGGAAGGAGAAGGGGATGAGGAGAGTTAGTGCTTTAAACATGGTTTATTAATGTTAGTTTTAACAGATTTTGAACCAAAAACTTGCATTAATGCTGTTTTATTCAATTTATAGCCGTTTTGGTGTCTTGCTCTACAATGAGCTCTATTTTTACCTCCTAACAAATGAAGCTTTTAAAATGTAGTTGTATTGGGGACAGGTGTGTGAATATTATGGTGGAAAACTAGAAACTTGTACTCTTACCTGATTTCCCCAATAGTAATTTAGTAAGAAGTTTTGATGCGGATCAAGCATCACGAATTTAGAGTCTAGATTTTTTTTCTTTAGGATTTATTTTGTCGTATTCATATGATTTATTTAGGATAAAGATTAGGAAAAACTATCTTTTTATAAGATATTATTAGAGAGTTTGTTAGGATTTTATTTTATCTGTTAGTTTTGGTTATCCTATTGGGCATAGGACTGTATGCTTATAAATAGGATTATTTTCATTAATGAAAGAATGTCTTTGAATTTATGAAAACATGAAAATTGTGAGTTAATTCGAGTGAATCGAATTGATTTCAAAACGTTGATTTTCTTTCAAAAAGATCAAAATTTACGTTGCTTTTCTTCTTGTTAAAGTCGAAAAGATCAAAACTTTATTGAATTAGGTTTACCCTAATTGCTAGTATCCCTTATTGTGGTTTAATCCACATCAAGTTTTGAAACTTGCCGTTAGATGTAAAAGGGGCCTTTTCTTATCTTCTATATATTTATAAGACTCATGAACAATTATGATGTAGATCAACTGATGAAGAACAAATGAGTTTATTATTATATCTCAGTTTGGATTATTGTTGGCCTACCTCTAATGAAGAGAGTTCTTTTAGTTTATTTGAGCAAAAAGCAATCATCCCGGTTTTGAAAGACTAATAATGTTTATGATTCATTACTTCAGCCTTATTGCCAATAAATATCTAAGGATCATTTCTATCCACAAATCGACCCTTCCTGATGCTTTATATGGTTTTGAAGTTATTTTAATAATGCTCAGTCATAAGCAGATTTATGGTGTTGGGTAAGCCTTCCAGCATCAAGAATTAGTTGTTCAATTCTGAAAACTCCATTAATAACCACTTTTCAGGACATAGAAGCTGATTCACTCTTAGTTTTAATTCTATTGTCCTGACTAGCCTTTCAACATCAATTCTATTGTGCTCATCTCATACTAACTTTAATGGCCTTTTGTTTAATGTATGCTGTTTTTTCTCTGTGACAGAGAAAAATTATATTGAGATAAAAAAAAAAAAAAAAAAAAAAAGAAAAAAATGGTTTATATTGTTGCTTTCTCTAGTATATATTATGTGCTCATGAATGTAAATATGTTGATCATACTTTGTTTACAACATAAGGTCCTCTTATTATTGTTAATTTATTTATTTTACTGTGGGACAGAATACATATAAGCAAGCATTGCAACATTACAAGATCACCCCCAAGCAAAATGCTTACACTCTAAGAAGTTCGTTATCCGCACCAAACAGGTCTTCTTCTCCAAGTCTACTTAATATTTCAACATTTAATGAAAATGAGGTAGAAACTATTATTCTCTTCCCCATCTTTTCTTTTCTAGCCTACTCCAAATTTCAAAATATTATTACAAAATATATTTACAATTTACTTATAGTATGCATCTTATTTTCTTCCTAATTTCTTTCCTTTTATTTTTTTTATTTTTTATTTTTTTTTTGTGACAGGTCAAGTTCAAAATAGCATCTTGTCACGCTGCATTGAATGAGAATAAAGTTGCACTCCTGGAGGTCTTGCTCTATGCTTGTATATTATATTTTCTTTTCTTAAGTAGCATAATCTTGAGTTGCTGACACTGCCTTAAATGATGGAATAGAAAGGGAGACTTTTTTCTTTTAATTAGTTTAATATGAAAAAGATGGAATTAATGGAGATATGATTCTTTCATAGTATGATAACATATTCTATTCAATTGATTGAAAAGCCTTTCAAGCCCAGCTACCAAAGCAGAAGATGATAATGCTCAACTTATATTATTTAAGTTATTGTTTTCTAATTCAGCAAGAAAAATTTGCATAAGCCTGAATTTGAGTTTACTCTGGCCTCTGGGTAGACCTTAAGGTTGTGCCAGAGTTCATTGTGAAAAATGGGATGGTAAACCAAGAATATGACCTAGAATTGAAAGTCAACACTCTATAATATTACTATGAAGTGCAGTTTTCATTAAAAAGAATATGTTTGTAGCACTCTCCTCTTTTTTTAATGCAAACTATTACACTGTAATAAGCTGTTCGTGATGGGTTGGAAATGGTATCTATCTTGTAATTGTCAACCTTTTTAACAAGATAACTATCTAAATGGCCTTTCACTTTTCCTCTTATGCCACATCCTTGAATTAGTGCTTCAAGCAGCTTGTGGTTGTGGATAAATTATATTTGTCTATCCAAAGTGTTTGTACCAATTTATTGCGCCCTTTGATGAATATACATGCATACTCTTCCCAAGTTCCCATTAGTTTTCACTTCCCATTATATACTGATACAAAATGGAATAAATTTCACTCTTAAGCAATACTCTACGACATGATGAAAGTGTGACAAATACTTTGGGTCTGAGAAAGTACCTATTACCCACTTTTATGGATTTAGGCCCATGATCAAATGTAAAATATATTCCTTTTTTTTTTCTTTCCAGATGGAAGGAATTCCTAGCAAGGCAAGAAACTTGCCCATGCATCTACTGATGGGAAAGCTATATCGAAATACTAGACACACTCGTGCAGCTGTAAATTGTTACAAAGAATGCTTAAGGTATGTCTTAAAGATATGGCTTTAGTGATTGTGGCAAGTAATTCTACTCCCTTGACCTACCAACTATGTATGTGTTATAAGGATATGGCTTTAGTGATTGTGGCAAGTAATTCTACTCCCTTGACCAACCGACTATATATGCGTGTTGCTTCTTGTAAAGGTAGCTTTGGGTTTTTATAGTTCTAAAATGATCATAGCTGTAAAAATTATTGGAGGTACACTTTAATTTATTAGAGTTTAAAATTCCTAGTGGTAATTGGAAAAAAAGTACACATTTAGTGTTGTTTTATATTTTCATACAACGTCACATTTGTCATGTTAAATACCTTGGCTTTTTCTCTTTTATGAAATGCAATATATTGTATGGAGTACAAGGTACAATCTCTATTCGTAGGGTTAATTATCATAGTTATAAAATTCATTATTGATACATTTTAACCCACAAGAATTGAAATTGAAGGTGGTTATTGAAACACATTCAAATGGTATCAATTTAGGGTTTCTTCATTTCTTTTCTTCTTAATTTCATACGACTTCACTTTTGTTTTTTTTTTTAGGGTTTCTTCATTTTTATTCTTAATTTCATGTGACTTCACTTTTATTAGGGTAACTACTCCATTTTTTCCCCTCTTCTATGAAATAAAAGATAGTGGATGGAGTGTTAAACTACCTTATAAGACTCATTTGTACATAGCTATTTTTAAGGTTTTGGGGCATATTGATAGCTAATTGTATCCTATTATCTCTATAAACATTAGGCTTGGATGATATATGATGAGTGATTTTTTGAATAAAAAATTCATCATTTTATGTAATTCTTCAACGATTTTCCGCAATTCCGAAGTGTAAGAGGGCGTTAGCTCTCTAGTTGGGTTATACTTTTTTATTATAATTATTATTTTAATTTTGTTTTTTGTTCCTTGAGCTGTTCATTTCTAGCACAATGCTTAATTATTTATTTTGTAATGATCAACTTGAAGCACTTGGAGTTGATGTTGACATCTCCAAGCTTAAGGAGCTACTGTGATCATTCAAATATCCACTATTGTTGCTTGTTTGCTAATTATAAACTCTTGTTCTCTTGGAGGTTTTTCTATCATCCTTCACTAGTTGTGAGTTAGTAAAGTTACAATTTATTTCTTCCCCACTAGCAATATTTTTTTATTTTTTATTTTTTATTTTTTTATTTTTTTTTAAATTTTCTAAAGGAATTTTTGTTATAATCTAGATTTTGTGAAGGTATGAAGTGTTGTAGAATTTAATTTCTCTTTTTAGCTTTTTTGTGTTACTACAAGCAGCTCTTAGAAATGATTATGGCTTTTACTCCTTTTTCCCATCATTTAAGGAGCATTGCATGTCTTTTGGTCAATAGTGGAGGAACAAGGGGGTTTTACAATATATTGTTGTCTATTTTGTTATGAAGGTACTAAATGTTGAAAATAAATTTCTCTTTCCCCTTAGAATTGAATATGGATTTTATGCTTATATCACTTCACTTAAAGAGTATGTTTTGTCATTGGGGTTAATAGTACAATTTTTTTTAGGGAAGAGATTATTAACTACTATCCTAGATTAAGGTTTACGTCTCTAATCTTGCATCCATGGTAAGACAACTACTTGCCAAGCTTGGTGGAGACTCCTCAATGTTGTCGAATTTAAAGATGTCAAAGCTTTTGCAATGAAATGTCTATCAACTTTAGGGTATATGGAGCAAAGGTCCTAGATAGATAAACTTATGAAACTTAATCATATTTGTAGCTAAATTAGAATTTAATGAAAGCGCAAATTCAGAATAGTGTATCTTTTCTTCTTCACTCAAGGGCATAGCAAAAGACTAAAGTTTAACTACATTGTTATATTTGGTGTACATGGTCAAATTTTTTTTTTTTTTTTAATTTTAATTTTAATTTGTTTTTGAACTAGTTCTTTTTCTTTATTGGGTGTTAAAACTAGAGTGACCTCTTGGTTCCATTTTCTCAAAATATCACATAACATTACAACAATTTATGTATAAATAATTAAATATAGATAAATTGATTAAGAATTTGTTCTTGCAAATATTTTTAAAACTTATTATTTATTCTTGTTAATATCTGATCACCCGTATTATGCACACCTAACCTCGCTGGAAATATTAATTTTTGTTTACTTATTACTTCCTCCATTCTAAAATATCTAACACGGTCAACATTTCACACATGCCAATGCACTACTTTGACTTTATTTTTATATAATTAGATATTAATGAAAATTATTCTAAAAATTATATTATGAAGCTTTATATTAATACCTATCTAACAACATATATGATAAAATATGTTTTTATTATGTTAGTAAAAAATTATGGTCAAAGCTAAAACATGAATAGTGAAAAAAGTCCAACGTCCCAGATATTCTGGGAGGGAGGGAGTAGTTAATAGCTTTATTGCATAGCAGTAAAAATTATGAAAATTACATATCAGGAAACTACACATTATACATTGAAATAAATTTAACAAGATCCTACTTTTACTTTTTTTTTTAATAATTTTTTATTTAAATATATTAGGGTAAAAATCCGGTCAAAATTTAGTTACATGAAATCAAATTTGACTAGACCAGAATATTCAGGCCAAATCAGACCATACCTTAATAATCCAGACCCAAACACCTCATTTTAGGTTAAGATATCAACCTCAAAGTCACTGTACAATCTAAACTGGTAACCAAACTTGAATCCTAAGAGCAAATGGAATAGAAGCCCTTTACCAAATCTACCAAGTAGCAATAGAAATATTAACAAAATAACAAAAGGGGAATTCCAGGTTTTAAATTTCTAACTTTAAAAGAGTAGGCAATTTGTCTATATGAGAGACAGAATTAATTAGATCAGCTGTTGTACGGTATAAGGATTATACCAATAATCAAAGATCATGACATGGTCACCGGCAACGGCGGCAACTTATTGGGATTGGGTGAGTAAAATCTGGTCCTGTAAGAAACCAAAAGAGTTGTTACTTGTAAGATAATCTTTGAGCTGGTATTGTTTTTTGAGATTTGGTGTGGTATTATTCAAAATGAAAGTATTACATGTCAATTTTATCATCTATTATGGCCTGCAGACAATGTTTTTTATTTTTTATTTTATAATTTTTTTTAACATACAATGAAGGATTTTATATCAATGGCCTAAATGAACCCTTACAAGAGCTGGGAACAGCAACTTGCTGGTACAAACATCGGGGGAAAATGTTGTACTAATAGTATTTTGCCTAGACTTATATATAATAGAAAGCAAATAACTAAAACATTGTTCAGAGCATATATATTACAAACATCTAAAAGGAGTTCCATAATTATACTATTTAACATTCATGAAAGGAGTTCCACGACCCACAGACAGACTTTGGAGAATTAACAGATTTTTATATGTCTGTTCTTCATTTTGAACCCTTTTTTTATTGCCTGGTTTGACTCTTATTGTATTATGTGGTAACTTATTTTTATTTTTTTCCTACTTAAATTTGGCCTCTGTATTTGCAGACATTGTCCTTATGCCCTTGAAGCCATAACAGCTATGGCTGAGCTTGGATCTTCTGCTAAAGAGATTATTTCTTTGCTTCCTCAGGTTATTACTTAAAGCATTTTTATTGATTGTAAAATCTGTTTTTGGACAAAGCATGGTGCATGTTAATGTTGGTAAGAAGTTATGGTGAAATCATTATGAATTCACTGTTTATTTTGCAGCTATGTGTATGCTTAAACTATTTCAAGAACTTTTTAATTGCAGTTTTCATAGTGGTTGTTGTACATGCAGCTTATTTGCCTTAAATTTGTTTACCCTGGTACTTTTATTTCATGTCATGTCTTATGGACTGACCATTCCTGATGTCCACTCTCTCTTTCTCTTTCCCCTTTTATATCAATCTTTCTTTTTATCTTGCCAAATGTTGTGCTTGTAACCTCAACATGAGAATTCATGTGATATGAATTTCTTGTATATGTATTGATAGTTACAATTTTTTTTGTTCTAGATTGTTTTAGATTCAATCATGTGCTTCACAATGGACTTGTATGTGTAGATTGACCTAGATACATGTGTTATATCTTTGACTGATGTCCTGGATTGATCTAAAAGGTGGTCCCCAATTTTTTTACGTTATTATTGCTATCATTTCAGACACCAAGTAGAAGCGGGAGAGCTCTCTCTGATCATCTTGAATCTGGACGCTGGCTGCAGGTAGGCAACAAACCTAGGTTACTTTTATCTGTTTTTGTTATATAGAAGTGTCTCAAATTTACCTTTTGAGCAATCCTAGATTGCCTTAGTTGGTGCTTTACATGTCAAATGTAGATGCTAAGCACTAGTAGGCTGGCTGATTAATCTGGATAGGACAGAGGCTGTTGTCCTGTAAAGTTACATCATGAGTTTCTGGTCCCTATGATGCTATATTTCGTCTTAATGTCCATGAGATTTATTGGTTGCATGCTATTTTAATGAACATTCAGCTCTTTCCAATTCATTGTCTTATGAATAAAATGTCTTAAAAAGAAACATAATTAATAGAGCGGGTGAAATCTTCAACACAAATGCCAAAAATTGATCATGAATTATGTTTTATGATTTGATTTTTATAATTTATGTTTTATTAATTATGGACTTGCTAAATTTGAGTATTCTACATGTGGTTCGGTAATGATACAAGAGAAAACTTACAACCTATAAGCATGTTTTGAGTTTTGGTCTATGATGTCTATGTGGTTCATGTGTATGTCTGCTAGCTTAATTGAAATATAAAGAATTCTTTTTATTTTAAGGGCAATATCTCCTCTTGGTTTTATCCCCACCAACTTAGGATTGAAGGGAGGAATTAATTCTTAGGGTGAGAATAGACTTGAAAGGGTCAATTCTAGTAGGAGTCATCAATGAGTTTTAGATAATTACATAAACCATGAAAGGGAGAGGTGTAAAAGCATGATTCTGCACCGTTGTCAAAATTGTTGGAATACAACCCTTAATAGTTTCACTTATTAATATAGTATAAATAAACCATAAAATAATCTTGTTAACACTGTAAATTTTTTTTGGGTTAGGGTCATATTTTACTGATCATATATGTTACTTCCTCCGTTCCACAAATATTGCAACAATTACCATTTTAGGAAGTTTCACAAATATTGCAACATTTCCCTATTTACACAAGTTTTCTCTCTTTCTCTCTCCTCATCACATGAATCTCTATCATTATTCCTCTCTATCTCTCTCCTCTTCTTAAAATCCATGTCCCCTTCCCATGTTGCAATATTAGGGGAACGGAAGAAGTACTAAGTAGGCCATACCTTTAAAATATTGATTGAATGATTCATGTTCAGTTTGACCGTAGTTTTATAACCTTTTAATCCTTTATAATTAAATTGTTTTATAGAACTAAGTAAAGGGAAGAAAAAATGAAAAGGGAATGCAACATTACATATACAATAATTAGAACAGAGCTTGAGTTTGTATTTGTTTTGTATAGCATTAGGTATGGAAAAGGATGAAAAAGAATTGAGAGATTTGTTGGGCATTTACGGAGTGATATTTATAAGTGTAAAGGGGTCTTATTCATAGGGAATTGTGTCATGACAAAAGGACATGAATTCTTAGACTGAAAACAAATGTTTCGCTGCACTAAGTAGACTTTTTCCAAAACGGATGTTCTTATGCTTGAGAACCTATTTATTGTTAGCTCTTCTTGTGTTGGCTTGAATGTGGTGCTGATTGTCACGTGCTAGTCTTTATCTTGTGTCATCTGGTGCTCATGAGTTCAATTCTAGCGCTTCATTAATTTTCAAGAACTTTTTGTTCTGATTGGCAGACAATATTAGAATAGTTTCTCCCACCCTTGTTATGTTCAGCCTTGCTTGTTTCAACGATCGGTAAAACTTTTAAAAAACAATATATGATTTCTCCTTAAACTAAAGGTATCTTCTTCATGCCCGCTTATCAGTTCAAGATGGAAGATGATATGACTGATGATGAGACATACCCAATGTTGAGATTTGGGTAACTTAATGAATTTATAATTTACAGCCGCATTTGACAAAAGCAGAACTTGTGCTTGGTTAACTAATTAAGAATTCTTACATGCATTCCCTTGTATTATGAAACTTTGGTAGGCTGACGTTGTTATTGGGCTATAAAGAGTATATGTAAGTGTAAGAGAGAGAGACAGAGAGAGAGAGAGAGGGGGGGGGGGGGGGGGGGGAGGGGAGGGGGAGAGAGAGGGCCAACAACTTTTTTTTTAGTATGACATTTTGTTCCAATCTGTAGTTTTTGATGTACAGGTACGTCACAAGTAACATTTAAAAAAATCGGATGTACAATAAATAGTGTACATCCGCTATAAAGTTACCTTAAAATGATCAAAAGTTACCCTGTAATGAATGAAACCCCTGATATAAATAAAAGTTATTTATGCTTTATTGACAAAAGTTTCCCAAAAAAGTCACCTTAAATTCAATAAAAGTTACCTCGATGTACAATAATATTACTGTAATAGGATGTATACAAAAAATTTTGGTCACAAGTAATTAAATTTACTGCATTAAGGCTATTTGAGATTATCTTTGAACTACAAAGTAGGCATCGTTAAGACTCCAGTTGCCTATATAGGTTTTTTTTTTTAATTTAATTTAATTTAATTTAATTTAATTTAATTTTTTTAAACTTAATGTCTAATTGTTAGTACCGATGACTTAATGTAACTTAATTTTATATTTTTTGGGAGCAAGCTAAAATTACCACTATATGTGTAAGTAGGGGTGAGCACGGATCGGATTTCCGATCCGAAATTGGATTTCGGATCGGATATCCGTATCCGATCTGAAATTTTCGGATATTCGGATATCTGAAATTTTCGGATCGGATAGTTCGGATATCCAATATCCGACCCATCTAATAAATATGGGTTTTTATCCAAAAATTAAAAAATAAATAAATGAAACCACCCTTTCCAGTTTCCTCTTCCCCTTCTCCTTCCCAGCTAGCACAGCCCCTTTAACGACAACGAACCCAACCCACACCTGCCTCCCACCACCTGCCGGCGACCCCACTCTCATACACCAGCCCACACAACCACACAATCCCACCTCACCTTGCCACCATTTTGCCACCACAAACCTCCACCACTCACTCGCTGCCATTCAACAACGCACCACCTCACAAACCCAAGCACTGCAACACCCTCAACTCACATCGTGGCAGCCGCAAAACAGAGCCACCAGCCCAACACACCCACCCAATCAACAACCACAAAACGTCACCGCGCGCCCAGCCCGACACACCCACGTACCCAGCAACCATGAACCACAATGATTTCACAATTTCACTGCCCCAATTTCACGAAACACTGCACCAGCCAGCCACTGAAATCATCTTTCTCACCCTTACCCCTCCTTTTCTCTTTCGAATTGGGTAACTGAGAGGGAGTTCGATGGGGTTGGATGCCATGGATGGTGGGATTTGTGGGAGGAGGGAGATTTGAGATGAGAGAGGAGGGAGAAAATAGAGGAGAAAGAGAAAGAGGCAGAGGAGAAAGAGAGAAAGAGGCAGAGGAGAAAGATAAGTTAGGGTTATGTTATCTGAAATTTTGTAAATTAATTTTTTTTTTTTTTTTTTTTTTTTTTTTTTTTTTTTTTTTGTAAAAAAAGTGTTTTTTTTTTCGGATTTCGGATATCCGAAATCGAAATTTTCGATATCTGATATCCGAAATTTTCGGATCGGTTATCCTAAATTTTCGGATCAGATGCGGATCGGAATTTCGGTTTTCGGATTATCAGATAGTTTTGCTCAGCCCTATGTGTAAGTAATGTCAACGTAGCTAGTTTACATTGCATGTCAATTCCACCTATGAGTCCGTCACCCGACCTGATTGACATGTCTACATACAATAATAAAATCATATTAGATTGTGAAGTATTTTATTTCAATCGATTTTGATATATTATAAATGAATGTTGTACATTTTAAACTACTTCCTTCGCTCCAAAAATATTAACTCCTTATTTGTCAACTTTAAGCAGCGCTATGTTGAGGCCCAGTGTTGCATTGCTTCAAATGATTATAAAGGTATGATTCTAAGGATTAACATTAAACTCTTTCTTCTTTTCCACAAATGATATCTACTTTCACTTTTTATCGTGCTTATAATTGTTATTATATTTATTTTAAAAGTTATCATTTATCCAAATTGCCCAATTAATTTGAATTTTAAGCAGTGATGCACGAGTACGTAGCCATCTCCCGTACCGGGGACGTGTACGATACGGGCACGGCCCGAATACGTCCCCATGGTGTCCCCTTGATTTTGGGTACGGGAATGCTATTTGGAACGGGTTGGAGCAGCTGGGACGTTTCGGGGACGTTTTGCCAAGGTTTTGACGTCCCCAACCCAAAAATCAAGCCCAACCCATTTAACAAAAATCCTCTTTTACTTACCTTATTTGATTAGTCTGGAAGTAGAACCCTAAAATTGAAGAAGGCTGTTTACGATTCATTGGAGGCATGACCACCAGCGACCGCGACCACCTCAGCTGACACTAGCAACCGGAGACCAGCAACGAAGTTTTGTTCTCACTCTTCTCAGCCTCTCTCTATCTCTTCTTTTTTTTCTTTTCTTCGATTTTATTCTGATTTAAGTTTTTTTTTTTTTTTTTTTTCCTGTTAAGTTAATGGTTTTTCTTTTTATTTCGATTCGGGGTATCCAAAGGTTAGTAGGTGGTTTTGGTTTTTTATTTTTTCTTTTATATCTTGATTTCTTGCTCTTATTTATTTGGAGTTTGCGACCTAAGCGGATTTGATAAGAAATTTGATCGTTAAAGACTGAATCGACCTCTCTTATTTGTGTTGTTTAAGACATTAAATTAAGTAGTTTTTCTTTTAATTTGTGTTATATGGATTTTTTTTTGAAACATTTTATGGATTTATCTTTTGCTATTTTTTTTTTTGCCGTACCCGTACCCGTACCCGTTTTTGTACCCGTATCCATTTCCGTGCAACCTAGATTATAAGTACAATTTCAATTATAAGTAATTAGTACAATAATTAAGTGGCACAAAGTAAGTTTTTTAGGAAGGTAGGATAACATTATAATTATAATTAGGAGTTCAATAATGAATATTTTATTTTGTAGGATGGAGTACATCACTATCTATTTCATATTTTCCTAATTCCAACCTACTTTATATTGTTAGTTTGAACCCCGTTTTCAACTGTCGTCGCTTTATAAAAAAACTATAAAAACAATTAAAATGCACATTATATTAAGGGGCAGCTATGTTACTAGGACTCTTCATTTCACATCAAGTGTCCATGTCAAATCTTTGACACTTGATATGGGTATGGACACTTAGATGATATTTGATGAAGGATTTTTGTACAAAATAGCTTGTCAAATACTTCGTTTGGGGTAAAAATTTATAATCGTGTCCGATTTGCACAACTGAGTAACATAGCATTCAAAAGGCATTCTTAGAGAAGATTGTGTTTGAATTAGTAAGATAATGAGAATAATTAATATTATCCTTAAAGTACTTGATGAAACTGTCCTGAATAAGCAATTGAAAGTTTGTTTATCTTTCTTCCACCGAATTTTGTTGTGGTCCCTATCCTTCTACCCCCTTGTCCCCACTTTTTTTTTTTTTTTTTTTTTTTTTTTTTTTTTTTTTTTTTGTAATAAGCTTTAAAGTCTTTATTGATCTGCAGGTGGCTTGGAAATATTTTCAGATATTCTGCAACGATTCCAAAATAATGTGCATATACTACTTGAAGTTGCAAAGGTTAGTAAAGCTGCAATCTTCTGGTCATTAATTAATTAATATTTTAGTTTATGTCAATCTCTTGCTAGGGCTACATTGTTTTGCTTGGTTTGATTAAATAAGTCGCTTCGAACTTAAGAATCATGTTGGAGCTTGGCTTGATAAAATTAATTTGAGTTTGATTCAGACTGATTCTGATTTTAGCTTGAACAACCTTGTTCAAAAAATATATCTAAATAAAAACTAAAATTGTTTTTTCGCCTCCATAATATTATTTGTCATGACCTTATGGGTATTTCGTGCTAAAAAAACAATTCATCTTTCTGATTTACTACCTCCGTTTTTCTTAGTCTTTAGTTACCGTAGCAACGCAAACCAAGGAAAAGTAAAGATATGAACCATACATGTGGGTACTTTTATATTAAAGAGGAGAGAGATAGAGAGTAAGAGATCTATTAAGTAAAATTGGGCTGCACAAAGTGGGGTTATGGATGATAAAAAATGAATAAAAAGTTGTTGTAAAAGAAATATAGTAAAAGTGAGTAAAACTTCGAAAAACGGATGAACACATGAAGTGAGTAAGACTTAAGAAAACGGGGGTAGTAATTGATAATTTAGGTTTTGGGATAAAAGATATACGTATACTCCCTCCATTTAATATTTTTTGTGCGTTTGCCTTTTTACACAGTTTTCAAAGCACACGTTTGAACCCAAATACCTTTAATTCGTATTATAAAAAAATTCTAAAAAGTTTATACATTGAAACTACACATCAAGATAAAACTAGCGAAAGATTTTACATGAGTATATTTTTTCTAAGATAAACTGATGAATACTTATGGTCAAAACTTTCTCTCTTCAAATAAAAGAATCTATATCGGAAACATATATGTATTTCTTTTTTCCTTAATTAATGAGCTCACAAGCTTATGAGCCAAATACCATGGAGTTTGAGTTTATTTATTTTAATATTTGAACTAATGATATAAGTTCGAGCACGGCTCATTAACAAATGAACCAAACATATGAGTATTTCTATTATGTTCGTGTTTATCCCTATCACTTCGGTAGTGATTCCTGTAATTGCATCCTTAATGTGCAATTACTTCTATGCTTACAGTCATACAGCAGGCCTCTGCTTTCTTTTCCCTCTTCACAACACTTGTGTAGATGTCATACTTGTGTGAGTCTTCTTTTGTTCCCTTGTAGTAAATTCATGGTTGTGTTATTTGATGGTGGTTAATACAAATTTGCGGCATCTTGAACAATATGTTAAACCCCTACCCCAGCTTTCATTAATATAAGGGAGAGCAGGGAATGTAAAATGATAGGTTTCATTTTAATCCACTTCGTGAATCCTTAAAACCTATGTTACTCCAACTCTTCATGTTATTTAACATACCCTTCTTGGATACCTGACACTTGGACATAAGAATGAAATTCTTACCTCCTAGTTCAATTTTCGTCCCATCACTAAATATTTTGATGCCTATATATGGAGAAAAGTAATAGCAAGGGAATCAAAATGAGAGAAAAAGAAAACAATTTTTTTTAGTTGACAAGTTTTGACTTTTGACACTTATCACAAAGTCCAATTTGACTAGCTTTTGTGACATATAGTTATCATAAAACAATCATGTGGGATCTTGTTAGAATCGTGTCATTGTATTTTTCAAAAATAAAATCAACTTTTGTAATTTTTAATTATTTATAGCTAGTGATATTAATCATTGAATATGTGTGTTGGCAAACGTGATACAATAAAAGTAACAACTAAAAAAAGATTGAGGGAAGTATACGCTAAAAAAACAACGTAATTTTAACAAGAACTTGAAACAATTTAACTTCAAATGTTTATGCATAACTTTGTAATGTACTTCCTCTACTCCATTTTAGTTGCAACATTAGGATTTTGGCAATTTTCACATTCTCTCCTTTTTTTCATATTGTAATTTATACAGTAGAAAAAATAAGTCATGGGGTCTTGTTGGATTTGTCTCATTTTGTAGGATTTTAAAATCTAATTTTATATTTTTTACCAAAATGCAACAAAAGATATTAATGGTTTAAATTGTGCATTGACAAGCATGAAACTATTAGTGTTGCAAGTAAAATGGAGAGGAGAAAGTGAAAATAGCACATGTGATAATTTGGATTAAGAATTTTTTTTGTAAGATAACACCTTTTGACACTTTTTGTGAGATAGCATCTTATGTAATTTTGTTTCGTCAAGTTATATATTCTAACATTCTAAGACTTGCTGAGGTGTAGCTCATACCGGTACCCTTATCCGTGTTCATAATGCTGAGGCTGGTTTTTTTCCTTGTTATGGTATCAGTTAATTGATTTTCATGCTGTCAAATTGTACCTTATGTTATCACTCAATGCACATGATAATAATATGATGACACGGTAGGTTTGCTGACTTACCTATGATGCAGTGCCTGAGTCAATTGTCAAGGTTCTTGTATGATGAGGAATCTTTCCTTTTTTTTTAATTTTTTTGGTTGGGGGGGGGGGGGGGGGGGGGAGGGGGGAGGAGATGGTTGGGAGCACCTTATTTGAATTTCGTCTATTGACTGTTTAATTTTAGCTTTGTGAGGGCAAATTAATGAAGATGCTAAAATAAAACCTTTGTTTCCTTGGGTGAGAAGCACTTGACCATGCGTCACAAATTTGTCCTCACAATTCTAGCTAATAAAAAATATTTGATGATACCATTTGCAATGTTGATTCAATTGACAATTTGACATATATCAGCATCCCTCCCTCAACTCTAACCCAAAAAAAAAAAAAAAAAAAAAAATCTTTTTGAGTCTATCTTAATTGAGTTTGATTGACAACTAAAAGCTGCCACTTTAGCCTTGGTATCAGCATCTAACTTACATTTTTTTTTTTTTCGTACTCTGGGTGAAGGTTGAAGCCATAGTTGGGAAGAATGACGAAGCCTTAATGAATTTTGAAAAGGTGGTTGCAGACCTGTAATGGATGTGAAGTTACAAATAATCTTATCCACCTTTTGATATTCTGATGATCTTGACAGGCTCGTTCTCTGGATCCCTATGTAGTTACTTACATGGATGAGTATGCAATGCTTCTTAAGAAGAAGTCTGAATATCCAAAGCTAAACAAGTTAGTGCATGATTTGTTGAACATTGATGCTACCAAACCAGAAGTGTTTGTTGCTTTGTCAGTGTTCTGGGAAAGGAAAGATGAGAGGGGAGCACTGTCTTATGCAGAGAAGGTAATTTGATTTTCTGGTTTATAATTGTTGTTGCTCTTCCTTTTTCCTGGTTTATGAAACCTACTGAAGCTGTTTTATGCATTCGCTAACTATGTACCTCATTTTGGCAACAAGAGTATTCAAATTGATGAAAGGCATGTATCAGGATATATCATGAAGGTATGCCCCAAAATCACATGACATACTTTAAGAATTCTGATTGGATTCTGGTTTGTTTGAACATATCACCCATAATGCATCTATACACTACCGTTCTGCTATTGTATTGGCTGGTAATATTTGGCTAAGTATTAATGCAGGGGAACTTGCTTTTGTCATTGAATCGACCTGATGCAGCAGCTGTTGCATTCAGAAATGCGCAGGAGCTAAAACCCGATTTGCGGTCATATCAAGGTTTATATACATATTAGGAGAGGAAAAAAAAAAAAAAGAAGAAAGCTATTACCGAAGTCTTAAATTGGACACATTTTGAGTGGTTACAATGTGCTCTTCTAAACTAACGAATGTTTTTTTTTTTTTAGGGTTGGTGCATTCTTATTTGGCCATATCTAAGGTTAAAGAGGCTTTGTATATAGCAAGAGAGGCAATGAAGACAATGCCTCAATCTGCAAAAGCCTTAAAATTAGTTGGAGATGTGCATGCTAAAAGTTCTAGTGGGAGGGAGAAGGTGTGATTATTGTTTCTATTGATTTTGACTTTGATCTTTATGGGTTAATCACTCTGAATTTGCTCTCATATATTCTTTTTTGACTAAGAGTTTCATGCTTGCCAATGCACAATTTAAGATTTTAAACTACTAATATCTTCGGCGTTTTGGTAAAAAAATTATAAAAACTAGATTACAATAAAGTAAAAATTGAGTTGAATCAAACCCGATCCCATTTGACTATTATTATTATTATTATTATTATTATTATTATTATTATTATTATTATTATTATTATTATTATTATTTTTTTTTTTTTTATTATTATTATTATTATTATTATTATTATTATTTATTATTATTATTATTATTATTATTATTATTATTATTATTATTATTATTATTATTATTATTATTATTATTATTATTATTATTATTATTATTATTATTATTATTATTATTATTATTATTATTATTATTATTATTATTATTTATTATTATTATTATTATTATTATTATTATTTTTTTTTTTTTTTTTTTTTTTTTTTTTTTTTTTTTTTTTTTTTTTTTTTTTTTTTTTTTTTTTTTTTTTTTATTATTATTATTATTATTATTATTATTATTATTATTATTATTATTATTATTATTATTTCTTCCGTATTAGGAAAATAAATACTCCCTCCATTTTTTATTTTTTTTTAATATATTGCAACACTTCCTATAAATGACCTTTTTTTTAAAATTGCTATACTTCCTGAAATGGAAATATTATTTACTATATTACGGAGTATTAATATTCCTTCTGCCTTCCATATACAATTAAGTCTTTCTCAAACTTACATATTCATTCCGCTATCCATATCCGAACTTCCATATAAATATTATTAACTACCTTCCATATTCATTCCTCTATCCTTGAAATGCTGTTGATAGTTAATTATGGAATTTTGTTATTCCCCTCTAATAAATCACATTTTTTTTGTGCACAAAAGGCTCCTAGGATTCATCTTTGAATCTAACATTTTTGGCTTGTTGTAACTGATAAATTGACCTGATGCCTTAGTCTTTAGAGTTCCTTTAATCTAGCTTTTTAGTTTCAATTTGGTGACTAGTTATTAGGACGAAGCTATCATTTAAGGTTTACTCTTCACGTTGTTTTATTCACATAAACACAGTTACAGTTTCTACTGATTTGACTGTAAATCATATCAAGGCTAAGCAGGCTACTTAAGTGCTTTTGAGGAAATTAATGGCTACATCAAATATCTATATCCTGTTTTGCTGTGCTTTACCTTTTGCATTGCCATACTTTCTAGGCAAAAAAGTTTTATGAGTCTGCTCTAAGATTGGAACCTGGTTATCTTGGGGCTGCATTAGCACTCGCTGAACTTCATGTTGTTGAGGGCCGAAATGGCGAGGCTGTGTCTCTTCTTGAAAGGTATCTTAAAGATTGGGCGGATGACTCTCTCCATGTGAAGCTTGCACAAGTATTTGCTGCCACGAACATGTTGCAAGAGGCACTGTCTCATTATCAAGCTGCATTGAGGTAAAAATGTCTGCCAACTTTTTTTTAATTCTTTGTTTTAGAGGACAGTTCTTGTTGCTTATCTAACTGTTGTATTCTGAATGATCAAATGGTAGTGTGAAATCATTTATTCTTTGACAATTAGTTGGCGACTTATATGGTTCTTAAATTAATTCATTACAAATATCAGAATAAACTCCCAAAGTGAAGCTGCGAAAAAAGGGTTGGACCGTTTGGAGAAGCTGATGAAGGTTTGCCAATCATTCAATTCGTTTAGGAGTTTTCCATGCTTCATCATTTTCTCAATCTTGTTGGTAGATTAACTAAAATTTAACATGGTGATCCTATAATATCGTAGGGAGTTGATCCGGATGCACCTGAGGAAGATGAAGACAATGAGGTTGATGATGTTGAAGGGGACCAGGAAGAAACTGAGCTTTTGTGAGATTTGTAAGCTTATGCAGTATTTTTATTCAGTTAAGTGAAGAGGTTGGTTCTTCAATTATTCTTGAGTGAACAATGACTCCTCTGGGGTTTTAATCACTCTAGAACGTGTACCATAAATGTCTGTTGTAACTTATATATATTTTATAAATCTAGGAATTGAGTAGGGAGATGTGTATGTAAATTTCAGTGCCCATTTAATTTGATTAATTAGATTGTTATGTGAATGTCCAATATAGCGCTACATTTTTGTAATGGTTTATATAACATTAATGTGGTCATTTTCTAAAACATGTAGTAGTATGCTATTGAATTGTAGTCTATTTGCTTCCACAATGTTAGGAGCAACGGGACAAGAAACTCCAAAACCACTTATAGTACCAATGATCCGCTGTCAAACTAGTGTCCTTAGCATTTATACTTCATTTCAATAAACACACTAAGCTTTTTGAAAATAAAAATGACTTAATACTTGATAAATACTATTAATAGTATGGTTTTAATAGTTAATTGAACTAAAATACCTTTGCGAAGTGCATGTGGGGATAACAATTCATATGAACTGCATATTAAGTAAATTTAATGAAAACTTAATCGAAGTAAATGAGAACGAGAAATTAGATCGAGGCACAGATAATGCTTGTTACTGTTTCATTGATTTCATTCAATCTAAAAATTACAAGCAATACAAAAGCTCCTTTTATAAGACGGCTGCACTAAATGCAATAGAGCTGGCATGGACCGTGCTGGCCCGCGGACGGCACAGGCACAACATGACATTGGCCCAACCCTGCATGAGTCCGCCAGCGGCACGACACGGCACGATGACAAAAGAGTGGGCTGCGGGCCGTGCCGTGAACGAGCATGGCACAAGCCCGCGAGCGGCACGCCAATTCGGCCCGTGGCACAACCCACCAGTACGGCCTGCAGGCACGACATGGCACGGTTAAAATGGCTACTTTCCTACGTTATTATGCGCCAACAACTATAAAACGGCTAGTTTTTTCATTTCTACCAGCTAGTTTCTATTCCTAACGGCTACTTAATCTAATTCCCTATAAATACATCACTTCATCATCTAATTTTTTCCATTATTCATTCATCAACTCATCTATTCTCTTATTCCCTTATTATATGCATTGTTACTTTTTGCTAAATAATAATAAAAAATAAAATTAATTATAATAATAAAAATAACATAAATAATAATAAAGAACTACAATAATAAAAATAAGAATAATAAAAATAACATAAATAATAATAAAGAACTACAATAATAAAAATAAGAATAATAAAAAGAACTATAATAATTTAATAATAAAAAAAGATAAACATAAATTAATAAAAAAAATTTAAATAATATATTGATTTAAAAAAAAAAATTGGGATGCCCGGTGCCCGACACAGCACGGCACGCCAGACACGTGGGCCGTGTCGTGCCATGGCTAGGGTGTGCCAATAGGTGGCCCGACACGGCACGGCATGGCACGACCCACCACCAGGCACGGCGAGGCACGACACGTGGCAGCCCAGCGCGGCACGATACCCAGCTCTAAAATGCAAGGACCTAACCCTTATTCTCCTGTGATGAGCACAAGTGACCACACCCTAGGACAGCTAACAAAAACAAATAAAAAAGAGAATAAAAGCCAACTGCCAAAACAACATAAATGGAAAAGCAAAAGTTAAAACACGAGAAATAAAACTTAATAAGCTCCTTAACAGTGCTTGAGAGCGAGCAATATTCTTCAACACTCCCCCTCAAATTTGGCGTGGAAGATTAGAGTGAACTTTAATTTTGTGAAGAAAAGCATTTTGCTGATGAATGGGTAGACTTAGTCAGAACATTAGCAAGTTGATCTTGTGAATGTGAGTTTGATTTTCCCTTTAGTCTGTTTGTTTTCTAATGAAGTGATAATCAATTTCAACATGCTTTGTTCTTTCATGAAAAATATGATTTGCAGTAATTGCAAAAGCTACTTAGTTATCACAATTGAGGAAATTGACTTAAGTCCCAATTCTTTAAGTAGTTGAGTGATCCACAAAACTTCACAAATAGTTAAGGGCATAAACCCGTATTCATCTTTAGCTGAGGACCTAGCCACTACATTTTGCACCTTGGAATTTTATGAAATGGGAGACTTTCCAAGAAGAACATAGAAACCAGTAATGGATCTTCTAGTGAAAGGGTAGCCTACCCAATCATTGTCACAGTAAGCATTAAGAACAACAGTGTTGTGAGAAGCTAGCAATAGACCTTGATTAGGAGAAAGTAGCAGATATCTAAGGACCTTCTTTGCAGCTTGGAAATGAACATTGGTTTCTGAATGCATAAACCAAGGGTTTGCACAATATAGGCGTTATATGGCCTGGTGAGAGTTAAATAGATTAGTTTACCCACCAACCTTTGATAAGTAGCAGGATTTGGAAGCAAATCACCGTTCACATTAGGATCTATAGGTAACTTTAATGAACTTTTATGGTCTAGCATAAGTAACATAGTATTCTTTAAACAAATCAAGAGTATACTTCTTTTTTAACAGAACTCTAATGGGCTTCAAACATTTTAATACTTCCTCCATTCTTTTGATATTGCACCACTTGCCTTTTATGGAAGTTTCACAAATATTGCACCATTTTCATTTTTAGACAAAAAATATCTATGTTCACACTGCAAATACCTAACATACCCTTACTTTTTCACCCTTATTATTTAGTCTATGTTTACATTGCATGGACACTTTTGCATTTACCTTTCTTTCTCTTCCTTTTTCCCACTACGAAAATTATTGTGTCCAGCTTATATGGTGCAATAATAATAAGGCTAATAAAAAACCGGAGGAAGTATAAGAAGATCCATCCTTTTTTTTCCTCGTAAAGTTTGCCTTTTTACGTAGTATTACCAATTTGGGATTGTGTTTCTTTGTATTTTATTGTTTTAGATTCATATGATATTTCCAATTTCTTATGTGAAGTTTTTGTAATTTTTTTTTTTTTTTTTTTTTTTTTTTTTTTTTTTGCGAATTTCATTTGTGTTTTAGTATATTTGTGACTACATAATTTTCATATTGTTTATGTAGAACGCTAGAAGGTAAAATATCTAAATTCATATATTTTATATAATTTCCAGATTTTTTTTTTTTCATATCATCTAGCTGGAATTTTATTTATTTATTTATTTTTTTATAAAAAACAACAAATCAGGTCCAAAATCGGACTGGACTGGAAGGACGATTCAGGTCCGATCTAAGTGATTTCGATATCGGTCCGATTTTGGACCGTTTGTACAGCTCTTTTAGGCCATACAAGGACTTCACCAATTTAAGCACCTTGTTTGAACCATGCGAAGCTTTTTCCCCCTCATTTGGATCAAGACCTTTTCCTTCAGCTATATATCCTTGAGGAAATTTTATTTATTTCAGTTAATTTTCCATGCAAAAATTTGACATCCGTTTGACGTGTTACCCGTCATTACATAGCTACAACATCAAGAAGAGCTCTTACTGTTGTCTACTTGGCAATAGGAGCAAAGGTTTGCTCATAATCAAGACCATATATCTGCAGATTCCTAAAAAACACCAATCTTGTTTTAAGTCAACCATCTGCATGAAACTTGCTTCTATGTATCAACTTTCTGCACATTGCGCTTTTTCCAGGAGGTAAGTTATTTACAACCCAATCCTTATTTTCTTCTAAGGCTTACAGTTCTTGAGTCATAGCATCTATCTGATGCTATCTGGCCACTATAAACAGCTTACTATAAACTCGGATGGATCATTATGTTTTCCAACCTTGGCAATGAAGAAAGAGAACACCGTGGTTGAAGGATTATGAATCACCTTAGTTATGGGAGTAATTACGTAACTACTCAAGTAGTCTCATAGTTGATCATCCATGCTTGTTTCTTTGTAGTTCTAGATGTCTTTCTTGGACCAGGTTATTCTGTATGATGAACTTAATCAGTTTCATCATTAATGCCCCTTTCATCAACTTGATCTGATCATTCACTTCATCATATTATGCATAAATAAGAGGATCTACTCTGATTTCATTTGAATCGCAACTCATAGCATTATGGATTTATTAATAGTAATAAGTTTTGAAATTTGATCATTTCTTGTAAGAATTTATGGATAAATATGCTCATAAAATTTCGCATCCCTTGAAACAAACGTTTGATTAATGAAAAGATTAAGCAATCTATATACCATTTGTCTTAGAGGATAACACTACTACAAAAAAGTGATAAGCAACCACTAAAAAGACACTGATGTGAATCAAGAGGGAAATTCTTTTGAAGAGCCAATTACGTTTATTTTGAGTCTAATAGGGTTCAAACTTGGAGGGAGGAATCAAGGATAGGTTACATGCTTGTTTACCAAGGACGAAGAATTGGAGCAATTTCCTCCAACGAAGATAGCGGTGGCGACGCGCCGAACTGGGTGCCACGCGCCGGTTCACCGACTTCGGCACGAGCCCAGCAACACGCCGATTATGCGTGTACTGTGTCCTATGGGGTGGCGCGTGAGGTCATTTGACGGTGGCGATAAGAAAAGGATCATATCTTGTTTTACTGAGTTTCTTCTAGAGTTTTTGCTTGCAAGTTTTTTACCTTCCACTTGAAAGGGTTTTTCTTGGTTTAAGCACTTAGGATTACTTTTATTTTATGTTATTTTAGTTTAATAAGTTTTCTTAGTTTATTAGGATTTTTTTAGGAATTATAAACTAAGTCAAACTACGCTTACTACTAGTTTCTTAATCTAAGTAGAAGTAGTTTTCCTATTCTATTTAGGTTATTTGGAGCTAAAGGCTAGGGGCTTGTCCTAATCCTATTAGGCTTAGAATTAGTGAGTTTTTGTCCATGAATAGGGGAATTTCTTGGCTTTGTAATATAAATAACAAATACACAAAAATTCAGCTTAATAAAAGTTCATTATATAGCTTTTGCTTAAACGTTTTTTGCGAGTTTTCTACTCAAGGAGTTGGTTGAAGATTAGAACACTAAATATTTAGTGTCTAGGAGTAGGCTAAGAGTTTAATCTCAAAATAATTAGCATCCTAGAGTGGGTTAATGATGAGTGGCATTTATGCCACTATTTCACCCTTTTTCACTAATGATTTTCCCTTATTTGTCACTTATTTGTGCCTTCTCTAGCGGTTTTTACCATTGTTTTGGTTACTTTTGTTCTTTCTTGTGTTTTTCCTCTTCTTTTATCTTTTCTTTTGTTTTATATCTTTTCTTTGTTGATTTTGAAGGTTTTTGGCAACCTTAGGATGAAGCTAAAGGAGCTATTGAGGCTAAAAAAGAGGAGAAGATGCTCATGAGAGAGGGCGCGTAGCACACAGCAAGGTCGCGGGCGCGGGAACCAAGGCCGCGGACGCGGGTCGAGTTTTGAGCTGAACTTCTCAGTTTCTGGAGATGGCTGGGAGAAGGCTGGGAGATGCCTCTCCCAGGTAGCCGCGGCACGACAGCTAATGGCCGCGGGCGCAGTAGTTGATGGAGAGGGCGCAGCGAGCTGGGTCTTCCCAAGATCGTACCCACGGCGGAGAGGGCGCGGCAGCTCCCGGAGAGGGCTCCCCCCCTTGTTTTATTCAATGACTATAAATAGTCATTGGATTGAAATTTCATGACATTCTCTATTCCAATATCATCTAGAACATTTGTAGTGAGAGAAACATCAGCATTTTAGAGAGAGAAAGTAGATTAATCCTCAAGCTTTCATTATTGTAATCAAGATCTTTTCAAGCTTTCTTCAAATTTTCATCTTTTCAATGCAACTTGTTCATGTTTGCTTAATCCATCAAGCTTAATAGTAATAATCTCTTTACCCTTATCATTTGTTTGCTTTATTGCTCTTGATAGTGTTTATTTCCATCAAATTCTTTGCTTTTACTTGTTTCATTGCATTTTCTTTGGTTTTGAATCATATTTAGTTTTGTTAGGATTGAATCCATGTTTAGTGTAGTTATTATGACTACCATCTCTTCTCTAGCTTAGATTTCTAGCTAGGGAAGGGGGTGAAAATCATGATTGGTTTAGTTTATATTGATGATTGATTGGGTTTTTCCTTGAGTTGATGATTTTGTGCTTAGAATGCTTGGAGCTATTGTTGTGCACCTTTAGTTCCAATATTTGAGTTCTAAATTAGATGCATGAGAATGATTTAGTTTAGGTTTGATCTATTTCATCAACTTGCTTGAGTGATAGCATGAGAATGAATTATTTTGAGTAGAGTTTGTACTCCTTGGCATGAATCCATGACGATTATCATAGTTTTCTTAGTTGATCATGATTGGAACCCCCTCTCCCTAGTGTTTTTGATCATATTCCCCTTAAAATCTTGTTTTCCCTCTTTATTTTATTGTTTCTAGTTTGAACTTCTTTGTTGTGCTTGTTTTAGTCTTTTTGGTAGATAATTTAATCTTAGAAATTCACAAAAACAAACCAGAATACCCATTGTTACTTGCAATAGATTCTTAATTCCACTTTGATTGTGCAATACCCCATTTCCTTGTGGGTTTGACCCTAGCTTGCCGCTATCTAGTGTAAACTTGATAGAGTTGGGTTAGGAATATAAATTGTTGATTTGATTTAGGATAGTAGACACGACCTATTATCCGCCGATCAAAATTTTGGCGCTGTTGCCGGGGAAACGGCTGGTTTTGCACTCTTATTGTGTTGTTATTGGATTTGTTGCTTTACATTTTGTTCCTTTACTCTCTTGATAGTCATTGCTAATTTTTTGCTTAGTTTTGGTGGATGTTAAGGAGATCTCAAGGACCACCTACACATTACATTGACCACGAGATCGACCGCACTTTGAGACAAGTCCGTAGGCTTTATCAAGAAGAGGGGCGAGGTCTTGGTGCTATTGTTGAGAGTGGGAGTGATTCTTGGTCTTCGATTTCTCAAAGTGAGGTAATGGCGGGACAAGAAGATGATGTTTTATTTCGTGAGTTTGGAAATCCGGAGGATTATGAGCTCACAGGAGGGATTTTACTACCCGTCACGGAAACCAATTTTACCATTCATCCTCAATACACTAGAATGGTACAAGCGGAACATTTTTCGGGTTCTCCAAGTGAAGATCCTATTAAGCACCATGATAGATTCCTTGAGCTTTGTGCCATGATTCAAACCAATCAAGTTTCACAAGAATACATCCGTATGCACTTATTTCGACAATCTCTTTTAGGTAGAGCAAAGAAGTGGCTCAAACAAGTTAAGCCAAATTCTCTCACAACATGGAGAGAGATAGCCAAGGCATTCTTGAAAAGGTTAATTTTAGAAGAAAAGACCGTCGTAATGAGAAGGAAGATTGCATCATTCGAACAAGAAGCGGATGAGAGTCTTAGTGAAGCTTGGGAAAGGTTCAAAGAGTTGGTACATGCATGTCCTCACCATGAATACAACCAAAGCTTGCTCATGCGATTCTTCTATGATGGATTGGAACCTATGTCTAGAGCTAACATGGATGCAGGGGCGGGTGGACAATTGATTAAGATTCCCCAAATTCAAGTTGAAGCAACAATTGAAGAGGTAGAGAAGAACTACTCTTGGGGTGGTAGAAGGAGGAATGCACCAAAGAAAGGTGGGATGCATGAATTGGAAAAGGTTGATCAATTGCAACATCAAATTGAGCTTTTGACAAAAGGGCTTGCAAAGTTGAATACGAGCGTTAATAGTGGGGCAAGCTCCTCTCAAGTCAATTCTTTCTCTTGCCGAAATTGTGGTGGTACAAACCACGATACATCTTATTGTGGAGGTTTAATTTGAGCCCCGAGCATGTGGCAGCGTACAACACAAGGCAAGATGGATATAGGGGAAGTGGCGGTGGAGTAGCTTGGAGGCATCCACCATCTGGATTTGCGCATCAACCTCAACAATGGAGTCAATAAGCTCAACAATCATATAACTCCAACCCTCAATACCAAAACCCACCTCCATTTCAAAACCAAAACCCAAGAGGAAACTACCCAAGAAACAACCAATACAATAACCAAAACCAATACAACAATCAAAATCAAGTGTCTCAAAGGAGCCAAGAGCAAGCATCTCAACCCGATTCTACACAAACCCAAATTCTTCAATAACTTCAAGCCATGAATCAACAAATGCAAGAGTTAAAGGCTCATAACAATATGGTTGATTCATAATTAGCTCAATTGGCCGAGAGAGTCCCTTTCAATTCACCTTCTACTCTACCCGGACAATCACAAACTAACCCATCCAACAACATAAAACAATCACATTGAGATCAGGTACATTCTATGAAGGTCCTAAGGAGGGGGTTAGTGAGGAAAAGAAGGAAGGAGGAGAGAGTGTGGGTGAAGACAAGAAAGTTGAGGAAGAGAAGGTTGTTGAGAAAGAAGGAAGTGTGGAGAAAAAGAAGCTTAAAGATGAGAATACAACTTCAACTCCTAGTGAGGCTAGGAATCTTGATGGGCCGGTTCCATTTTTCGCTCGACTTGTGGAGAGGAAATTGAATGATAAGTTTGCAAAGTTCCTTAGTGTGATGAAGAATTTGCACATCAACCTCCCTTTCATTGAAGTTGTCACACAAATGCCTTCATACTCCAAGTTCCTCAAAGATATTCTCACAACAAGAGGAAGCTCAATGATGAGCTCATCACTCTTCCCCATCAAGTGAGTGCACTTGTCCAACATAAGATGCCCAAGAAGCAAAAAGATCCGGGAAGTTTCACTTTGTCGGTAAAGATTAGGAATATGGAATCTAGAGGCGCCTTAGCCGATCTTGGAGCAAGTGTTAGTTTGATTCCTCTATCCATTGCTCAAAAGCTTAACTTTGAAATGATCTCTACAAGGAAGACTATCCAATTGACCGACCGTTTGGTGAAGTTACCTTGTGGTGAGCTTGAATATGTTCCTATTCAAGTTGGGCATATTTACGTGCCTTGTGATTTTGTAGTGATGGATATGGAAGAAGATGTCGATACACCTTTGATTTTTGGTCGTGGAGCTCTTAAGACTTTGGGGGCGGTGATTAATTGCAAGAACAACACCATTACATGTGAGGTAGTCGATGAAAAGATTGTTTTTGAGTTCTCTAAGTTACTCAAGACCCCCATGGTTGAAAAATGCTATAGAGTTGATGTTATGGATGAGGAGTTAGATCGCTTGGGAAGGGTCATGATGAAGCCTCAAGATCCAATGGTTGAAGCTCTTACATGCAAGGAAAAGTACCACTCTCAAGAGGCAAAAGAATTTGTCATGGCCATGGAAGAAGCTCAAAAGGAAGAAGAGGGTGAACAACAAGAATAAGAGCTTGAACTAAAGGAGGAGAAATTGGAGGAGAGTTCCAAGACTCCTCCCAAGGTAGAACTCAAACCCCTTCCCCCCTCTTTGAAATATGCTTATCTTGGAAATGAAGGGGAATACCCTATTATTGTCAATGCTACCCTTGATGGTCTTGATTTGGAAAAATTGCTTCTTGTGTTAAGAAATTATAGATATGTGATAGGGTATAGCATTGACGATATCAAGGGTATTAGCCCCTCTTTGTGCACGCATCGTATTCATCTTGAGGATGATCAATCCACCTCAATTGAACCTCAAAAGAGGTTGAACCCCAACCTCCAAGAGGTTGTCAAGAAAGAAATTTTGAAATTGCTTGAAGCGGACATAATTTATGCTATCTCCGATAGCAAGTGGGTTAGCCCGGTTCACGTGGTTTAAAAGAAAGGTGGAATGACCATCGTTAAGGGAGAAGGAGGAGAGGAAATCTCCACCCAAACGGTGACCGGGTGGAGAATGTGTATTGACTATAGAAGGTTGAACAAAAATACAATGAAAGACCATTTTCCTCTCCCCTACATGGACCAAATGTTAGATATATTTTCTCACCATGCTTTCTTTTGTTTTTTGGATGGGTATTCCGGATTTTTCCAAATCCCTATCCACCCAAATGACCAAGAGAAAACTACTTTCACATGTCCATATGAAACATTTGCATACCAAAGAATTCCATTCGGATTATGCAATGCTCCTTCAACATTCCAACGATGCATGACTTCCATTTTTTCCGAGATGCTTGAAAATGAGATTGAAGTTTTCATGGATGATTTTAGTGTTGGTAGCTCGTCTTTTGACACTAGTCTTTAAATCTTGAAAAAGTTTTGAAAAGGTGTCAAGAGACGAGTTTGGTTTTAAATTGGGAGAAATGTCATTTTATGGTCGAGGAGGGTATTGTCCTAGGCCATAAAGTGTCAAAGAAGGGCATTGAGGTTGATTCGGCCAAAGTTTTTGTGATTGAAAAGTTTCCCCCTCCTACTTCCATTACGAGAGTGAGAGATTTTCTTGGGCATGCCGGTTTTTACCAGAGGTTTATCAAAGATTTTTCATCAATCGCCAAACCTTTGACCGAATTACTCAAGAAAAATGTTGTGTTTAGCTTTAATGAGTCTTGTCTTGAGGCATTTCAAAAGCTCAAGGAATCTCTCATTTCCTTTTCCGTGGTGCAAGCTCCGGATTGGAGCTTGCCATTTGAGCTAATGTGCGATGCGAGTGATTTTGCAGTAGGTGCAGTGCTTGGGAAAAAGAAAGAAGGAAGATCTTATGTCATCTACTATGCAAGTAGAACTCTTAATGAAGCTCAAAAGAATTATTACACAACGACGGAGAAGGAAATGCTTGCGGTTGTGTTTGCCATGGACAAATTTAGGTCCTATCTTGTTTGCTCCAAAGTGATTGTGTACAAGGATAATATAGCGGTTTACTATCTTATGACAAAGAAGGAAGAAAAACTACACCTCATCCGTTGGGTTCTTTCGCTTCAAGATTTTGACATGGAGATGAGAGATAAGAAAGGAGCGGAGAACTATGTGGCGGATCATTTGTCTAGGCCTCCTTTTGAGAACAAGGAGGATGTACCAATCAATGAAGAGGTGGGATTTGAAACTCTTATGGCTATAGCTTCAACATCTAGCCCGTGGTATGCGGATATAGTTAACTACCTTGCTTGCGGAGTCATTCCCCCGGAGTTCTCTTCTCAACAAAAGAAGAGGTTTTTCAAGGAAATGAGGAGATACTTTTGGAATGAACCTTACTTGTTTAAACAATGTGGAGATGGCCTTTTCCATAAATGTGTTCCGGACCATGAAATTGAAAGAGTTCTTGAGCATTGCCACTTGTTGCCATGTGGAGGACATGGGGAGTTGACAAGACGGTGGCAAAGATTCCTCAATCTCTCTTATGGTGGTCAACGATGCATAAGGATGCTCACAAGTTTGTTTCTAGATGTGATAAGTGCCAAAGAAGTGGTGGCATAACCAAAAAAGATGAAATGCCTCAACAAAACATTTTGGAAGTTGAGCCCTTTGATGTTTGGGGTGTTGACTTTATGGGGCCTTTCATTTCTTCATGTGGGAATTTATACATCTTGGTAGCGGTTGACTATGTGACTAAGTAGATTGAAGCCATACCTTCCCCTACCAATGATCATAAGGTTGTGCTTAAGCTTCTCAAGAAAATCATATTTTCACGGTTTGGGGTTCCTCGGGTGCTAATTAGTGATGGAGGTTCCCATTTTGCCAAGAAGCAACTTGAAGCTCTTCTCAAGAGGTATGGAGTTCACCACAAATTTGGTCTACCTTACCATCCTCAAACTCAAGGGCAAGTGGAGGTGTCAAATACAGAGATCAAGAATCTTCTTGAAAGGATGGTGAACAAATCTAGGAAGGGTTGGTCCCTCAAGCTTGACGACACACTTTGGGCCCTACGGACGGTGTATAAGACTCCAATTGGTACAACCCCCTATCGGTTGGTCTATTGGAAGGCTTGTCATTTGCCGGTTGAGTTGGAGCATAACGCTTGGTGGGCCATCAAAGAGCTTAACATGGATATGTCATTTGCCGGTGAGAAGAGATTGCTCAAGCTCAACGAACTTGAAGAGCTTAGATATGATGCCTATGAGAACTCAAAGATATACAAGGAGAAGACCAGAAAATGGCACGACTAACACATAAGAAACAAGAACTTTAAGGTTGGAGACAAGGTGTTGTTATTCAACTCTAAGCTTCGTCTGTTTCCCGAAAAGCTCAAATCCAAATGGTCGGGGCCTTTCATGATTTCAAAGACTACTCCTTATGGATCTTTTGAGTTGGAGGCGAGTGACAACAAGTTCATGGTTAATGGGCATCGTTTGAAGCACTATTTTTACAAAGATGAAGTTGGTCTGATCGAACGCATGAGACTTGATCCTATGGATCCTAAGTTGACCCCTTGATGATAATCTCTCATGGTCAAGCTAGTGACCTCATAAAGAAGCGCTTCTCGGGAGGCAACCCGAGTTCTCAACTCTTTTAATTCTTTATTTCCAATTTTTGGTCGGTTTTAGTTGATTTTTCTTATGGTTCTTATCTTACGTTCTTTGGCTTTTCTTTTGTGGTACTTCAACTTTTGAGCATTAAGTTTGTGGACTAGGAATTGAGGGTGTTCTAAATTCAAGGGAATTGTTTTCAAGAGCCAAGATTGAGTTATGAAAGAAGAAAGGGCTCAAGGGCTTAAAGTGCAGCCCGCGCCTAGGGAGAGCCCTCTCCAAGGACCCGCGGGCGTTGCTGTGAGACCCGCGTGCGCGGCACATAGACCCGCGGGTACGACTGTGAGAGGAGATGGCGCGGACAGAGTTTTAACATTCTCCCTTGATTTTCTGGAGATGCCTCGTCGCGCCCCTGGAGAAGGTGCAGACTTATTTGCCGCGGGCGCGGCGGTTTTTACTTGCGGGCGCGGCATGGAAGGAACCGCGGGCGCAATCAATGGTGCCGCGGGCGCAACCCTCTGTTCTTCCTATGTTTTGCAAAATCTTGAGATGCCTTGGAGAAGGCTGGGAGAGGGCGCGATCTCATACCCGCGGACGCTGCACACAGGCCCGCGGGCGCGGCGAAGGGGTTTCGCGAATCCGCATAGTTTTTTTTAATCTGCAACCCTTATTTCCCCCTACTTCGAGCATCTCCTTCATATTTCTCTCTCTAAAAGTCCATTCTCCCTTAAGCCCTAACCTCCCAACCTCACAAAACTCATCATAAATAATAAAAAATCATCAAAATCTTACATTTTCCTTTGATTTCCCTCATCAAATTTCTGAAATTTTACCGTTCAAGCTCCCTTTAGGGTTGATCTTTTTGCGGGCTCTCACGGATTCTCCATTGCAAGATTCTTGAAGGTTGCTTGGATTTTATCTTCACAAGGCTAGTTGGAGTCGATTTTGGGTCACTCATTGCTGGTATATTCACTCCTACTCTAGTTTTGATTGAAATTTGAGCAATAGCTTTGGTGAGAAAAATTGTTATACTTGTGAATTCATTTGGGAATTTTGATGTATGTATGTTAATTTGTGTTGAAGTATCTTGTTTTTCTTGGTTGATTGTTGTTTGTTGCTGATATTTTTTTATTGTTGGTGGGTTATATTGGTTGATTGGTGTTGTTGGGTGAATTTTGAAGTGTGTGAATTGTGAAAGCTTGTTGGAGTAGTGGGATTGTTCTTGTGATTGGAGTTGTGATTGATTGAACTTTGGTGATTGTCAAAATGGTGTTTGGTTCTAAGAAGAGAAAGAGTGGGAAAGAACCCCTAAGTTCTTTCTCTTAAACCCCTCAAGCCGTTAAGAAACCGCCACCACCTTTTCCACAACTCAAATTTCACAGTAAAAACCACAAACCCATTCATGACAACTTGCTAAACCGGAAGTTCCGACCCACCAAAAACTACCACCAACCCACAACAACTACTTGGAATTGATGGTGATTGTTGGTTCTTATTCAAAAATTTGAGGTTAGGTTCTTTTGTGGCCAATGCATACCGAACCTACAAAGAGCCCACACTTGAATTCCTAGATTCTTTTGAATGCCATGCCACAGGAGAAAAATACCTCTCCATCTCATTCAAACTCTTCAACAAGAAAGAAACAATGAACCTTCGCCAATTCAACCAACTCCTAGACCTCAACCCCGATGCCGACATGTTCTTTCCCGAGCATGAAGTTTTTCATGATTATAACCCCCTCAAATGGTGGAAATGCATCTCAAGAATGGACTCCTTCAATGCCAAGTACTCATTGGCTAGTCAAATCATGCACCCTGTTGTTAGACTTCTTCATAGAATCCTTGGGTACATGGTTTTTAACAAGCAAGATTTGGGGAAGATAACCACGGAAGAAATCCGAATTTTGTGGCTTGCTACAAGGGCGGATTTGGGGCATAAAGTGAATTTTGGTTATCTTTTCACCAAATGCATTGAGGACATTCTTTCGGGAGCAAAAAAGGAGGAG